TCATTGGCCTTAGAAACTTTATATTAAATTTTTTCGAAAATTTAATATAATTTTATAATATAATATTTAATAATTTAATATAATTTATAAAATTTAATTAAATTTGAAAATGGAAAATTTACGAAAATACTAATTGAGCTATTTCATTCTTGGAAAATTGATTGTTACAGCGGAATGATGGCATTCGATTAAAAACATTACATAATACCAGGTTATCGGTTAGCACAAAATATGTTTTAAATGGTTTTCTAGAGTGCGAGTTTATCATAACGAATTTCTTAAAAATTTAACATATATTTTGAATTGGTGTCTACTTTATCTATGGAATTGTCTCATTTCCTACCATCCGAGTATCGCTATAAACGTAATAATATTAGACTAAAATAATTATTAATTATATGGTCGTTATATCATAGTATTTGATTTATATATTTAGGTAAGGATTTAACATACAGAGTGACCAATTTAACACATTATAAAAATTCTTTATTCTTTCCTACTTCACACCATTTAAAGAATGTCTCAGATTGGTCTCTCCGTATGATAAATCCTTATATTAGGTAACATTTGAAATCATAAATCAAATACTATGATATAATATAATAGAAAAGTTAGATATACGAAATAATGTAATAATCTTAATCTTTGTAGTTATCATTTCCTAGTTTACCAATGTATTTATACTCTTTGCAGAAAACAACAGTGTTCAGACGTCTTTGTGTATTTATTTTGCAAACTACCATCTGTCATCTTTTCGTGCTGCTAAAGAAAAAATAAATGCTCGATAATGAAAAAGGTACGTAAAAGATTACGTAAATTTTAACCCTCCGTAAGTCGCTAGGAATGGGGCCCTTACTTGAGTCGCATGGGTCTTACAGACCCAGTGTTTTTAATATGAAATAATTCAATTTTATCTATCGCGTAAAGAAACTACAGTTTCTTAGTTGGATTCTGCGCTTTGTTTTCTATCTAGTGATATAAATTACTTGCGTATTGACAAAATGAATTTTTTAATATTTATTTTTATGTAATTCGATACGAAAAACGCAAAAAAATAAACATATCAAATTTCAACTCGCTGTAATTTATCTCCTGTTTCACCGATTGCCATCGGGTTTGTTTGTAAGTGGGGAAGAAATATGACACTTTCAAGCGAAGTGAGTAGAACTTTTGCACTACTGCGAGAAAATTTGTCAACCGACCCCGCGTTACCCCCTACCGCGAAAGTCAATAAACGTTAATTGTTTTATGACTCTATTTTCAACACTTCTTTTCTGAGTTGTAAATCGACTAATTGACAAAGATTTTACTTCATTTTACTCATAAGAATGTTGTCTTTATGATTTAATAGATAGTTTCGTATGATTTTTAGACATAAATTTTATTTTTAATTTTTTATCTGATATAGTCGTGTGTTAGGCTTAACTCGATCACCTATTTTCAAAAATTGACATCGTTCAAAATATTATAGAATCCATCAAAATTATTTGCTTATAGTTTAGTTATAAATGTTTTCTGTGCATGAAAAGAAGCGATCGAAAAAATAATGGGTGGACCATCAAAAATTCGGCAATTTACGACATGCTCTCAATTCTGAAATTTGTTTTCTTCATAATATAAAATTTTTACAAAATAATACTTAAAAAATACATCCATGTCAATACCTGAATGTTATAAAAATGCAATTATCAAAAATTTTGTAATTTTCACAATTTGTATTGTCATAATTTATTTTTGTTTTTTTCTGTCGCGCGTTGCGTATTGCGCGACAACAAAGTCGTAACGCGATTAAACGCAGCGATTTCATTTATAATTACTTAAAATGTAGTTTACGTTCTTGTTTTAGTTTTGTTTTGTTGTTTAGCGATGGAAAATAAATAGATAATAATTGCAGATAACAATTTAAAGTATTTTTATCAGATTAATTTAGATTATTTGATTTTACAATAATGATAGCTATGCGATATGATTGTCGCATAGTTGTAATTTTTCACTTTATATCTAATTAGCTCTCATAATGTTTAGGGGCTAATTAGCTAACATATACTGTAGTTCTTTTATTTCGTTTGATCGAGTAAGCATCTTCTCAGAATTGTCTTGTGGGAAATTGACTGCGATAAGAATTAGCCTTTCACTTAAATCAATGTCAGAATGTAAATAAAAGTTAGTTAATCGCCATTTTCATCGTTTTCAGCTCTAATTTCGCTACTTTTCATTTTAATTGACGTTATTTAAACAAATGTTTGTTTTGTCAGGAACATTCAGGAGTAAAATTACCAGAATTACGGCTCTAAAATGAAGAAGATAGCTATTTGTAAGGTTTGCTTACATTCTGACTTTAATCACGTTGATTGGTTCTTCGCGGGAAAATCCAGACCAGATGGTTCTGAAGAAACCTCTCATTCGTTGAACTTAAATCAGTCATAATATAAATTACCAATTACAGTGTAATAGGCGTAGAAACAAAAATTTTAAAGCCAATTAACAGCAATAACATCTTCCATAGACTTACTATAGAGAGTTGGAGTTTCCCGGGAATATTTATTGCTAGACAGTTTTGAGAACATGCTTACTCGTATATACATTGTGAAACAATATTTAATTAACAATTTATAGCTCAAAACGCGAATAAAACAAGCGAATTTACAGCGATTGTTTACATTTGATTTCCAAGATCATTGCCGAAAGGGGGGAGATATTTCCCGGCAATTTATAGCTAGACTGTTTTCACAAGTTTCCCATTGGTTAGTAAATGTAAAAAAATGCCAACTTGCATCGTCTAATATACGAAGAATCATCATAAGTAATATATAAAAATTATATGATAAAAATAGAATAATAATTAAAATGATTAAAAGTTAATTAGACATTAATTTTGAAAACAATATTATAACAAAAAAAAAAAAAAAATATAAATATATAAATAAATAACGATATTATAAAGTATAATAGACACCGCGCGACAACTTCAGCGCGATAAAGTTATTGCGACACTCGCTATCGGCAACGGCGACAAATTAATTGACGTTTTTTTACCCCCTCCGTGAGTCGCATGGGTCTGTCATACCCATGCGACTCGTAAAGCATTTTTTTTCTAAAAAATGAGCGTTGCTATGCAAAAAATTTTAACAGCCTGTTAATCTAATTAAAAAGTTTGAGGAATATTAATTTTTTCAAATTTTTCAAAAAATATTTAATATTAAAAAATTTTGACTAAAAATCGCGTCGGGTCTGTCAGACCTATGCGACTCACAGAAGGTTAATTATAACCTGACTCTTATTTAATAAAAGTTAATCGGTGTAAGATTTGGAATGTTTATATTCATTAACGAAAACAAGAATAAAGGTTACGATAAATGTGCAGAAATAAAAATTCACATAAATTTCAATTCACTTTAACATTAAGTTATTCTACTAGTGAATAAATTACTTAGAACATAATGCCATAATCGTCAATACCAATTCATTCCGTCATTTATCGGTTCGGATCGAAGTCTGAATAACAGTTTCACAACAAAAATTTCTTTATCTCGCTATCACCGAACTTTCATTGTGTATAAAGTACCTGTGACAATAGAACACTCTGCTGTTACTCCGAAAGTCCAGACGAGTTAATGAAAACAGTTAATGCGAAAAAAGAACATCATAGGCTTCACTTTTACTGGCTTTACTATGTTGATTATGAAAATAACTGTATATTATAACCATAAATAATTTAATGATAAGGCCGCATCTTAGTTTGTTATATTCCGTTTGCACTGAGTATTTGAATCCCGATTGAGATCAAGGGCGGCGACTATGCCGTGTTGCGATTTATCTCGAGTGAAACTAGTTTATATCGTGATCGACTCAAGAGTTCTTAAAACTAGATTCAGTAATAATAGAGTTTTCACAATCTCACACGCTCGAGAAAATAAAAGAAGTCGGCTGTTAACAGAGAAATGAAAAAGTCATTCGTATATTATTAGATTTATAGCAAGAAAAAGTGTTTATTTCTAACCAAAACTTCCATTTGGTTTGTTGGTGTCCGTGACTTACCGCGTATTTATCTCAGTTTTATCATCGCGTGTAATACCGGGTTCTTTTCAAGCGGACTGCCCGTGCAAACAGCTGGACAGTTACAATCCAGATTGTAGGTAAATCGAGATCGAAGTGAGTGGCGAATGTAGTATTACTGTGTTTACTCTGTTGCTGTTTGTCCCTGGTTATTTGCCCTACTATTACGTTTTATTTCTTAAATGAATTAAAAAATTTCTTAATAGATTAGATGAGATGAAAAACAATTTTATTAAATTAATGTGTTATTCTGCTATGAAATGACTATTATTTGCCGCAAAGATTTTTATTCAGTAAATGTAAAATGTACACAAATGTGAAACGTGTACATTTTAAATAATAAGTCTTGTAATTAAAATGGATTTTATAACGCTTTTTTAAAATATTTTTACAGAGGAAATTTTGCTCTCGCAGTTTCCAGTACAACATTATTAAATTTTCATCGAGCACGTTGTATTGAATAATTTGCTCAACATTTAAAGTTGAATTATTCAGTTTACTTATACGGAACTGATTGAGAATTTTGATAAATCTATCAATTTTTCAATGCGCATGTGATCGGAGCTTCGCCAGATCAAATTAAAAAAAGAAAGCATTTGCTGAGACAATACAACAGAATTGATTAAAAGAAAACTTGCTTTAAAATAAGCCATTACGGTGACGTTTAATCAATGGTTTCGAGCTAAATTATGAAAGATTTTGTTTTTTAAATATAAATTTCGTTTGTGTATGCAACACAAAGATAAGTTTTCGGCTTTTAAATTTATTTCTAACTTCCATTTAAATTAGCTGAGAAACAAAAAATTTTTGTTCGTTCGATCTATATAGGCCTATATTTAAATGTATTGTTTGTTTGTATTTGGAAGAAATGTTCATTTACTTTTTATTTATTTTATTTTGTATTAGTAAAATGTTTATTATTGTTCGTTTGTTGTTTGATTGTATTTTAAAAAAATTATTTGCTGCTTATTTAATGTTCATTTGTATCTAAAGAAAAGTTTATATCATGTTGACGTATTGTTCATTTTTATTTGAAAAAAGTTTATTCTCTGTTTTATATGTGTTTTTTGCTAAATAATAAATATGTAATATTTTAATGTCAAAAAAATGTGTTTAATAAATTAAATGTTTTGAATGAATGTTTCTGAATAAACTATTAATTTTGCGTTTCTCAATAAAATTATATAAATTCACTTTATAAGATTGTTATAGTTATTATTATAGAAACGAACGNATTATGTTGACGTATTGTTCATTTTTATTTGAAAAAAGTTTATTCTCTGTTTTATATGTGTTTTTTGCTAAATAATAAATATGTAATATTTTAATGTCAAAAAAATGTGTTTAATAAATTAAATGTTTTGAATGAATGTTTCTGAATAAACTATTTATTTTGCGTTTCTCAATAAAATTATATAAATTCACTTTATAAGATTGTTATAGTTATTATTATAGAAACGAACGTATATGTTTCTGGTTGTTTCTCTTTCATGCATTACTACACGGTTTACTTGATTGCCATGAAACTTTTGGAAGTTGTTCAAGACACTCCAGCCAAGGTTTCTGGAATAGTACGTTTATCCTGTGATAGGTGGCGCGCGTGTATACGAAAATATCATTGTGAGCATTTCAGCGCGGTTAGGAGTTAAAACTTGAAATTCGGGTACGTCACGAGAACGCACACTAAGAAGGAATTTTTCGAAATTTCTCTTTTCCTTCTGTATTCCTTACCGCAATTAATAGACAATGAAAAAGTTATATCAAAATTAATACATTAAACTATGAAAATGAACGAAATTCTGTGGTCCACATAAAACTGGTTTGGCTAAATCTCTGCCCGAAGGGTTTCAATAAAGACGAGGTATTGTAACAAATCTTTTTACATTACAGCAAACTGATTATTAGATAATAAATTTTAAAGGCACATTGACATAATTTGGACAGTCAAATATACCATCTCACATATAACTATTGAGAAGCCGACAGAAAATATTAAACAATTGAAAATAATAATAAAAAAACTTATATGTATAAAATAACAATAATAATAAATTAAAAGGAAAAGTACTTGTTTTTTTCAGTACCCGATCGATGTTCAGCATTTACTAACTTCAACATTGCACAATAGGAAGTAAGAATTTCAATTTCACATAAAATGTCGTATTATCATCTGAATGTTGCGTGTATAAAGTAATAAATGATTAAACTAGGAAATGTTCATAACGCTAGCGAAAACGTAATAAATGATATTTTACTTATGTCACGTGTTTCTGAAGAGGAAGTTGTACTGTGTTCTACACACAAAAGTTGTTCGGCCGTTACGACTTAACGTCGAACTTTCTAACGACAAGACAATTGTCAGCTATTGTTCTCGAAGCTATAACTAAAATTTACTTAAACCCGTTACCATAACCTGGATTTTATTGGCAACACAAGAAAATAAAAACATTAATCACGAAATTAATTGTAACTTTAACGCAAAATTTCAAAAATTATTTTACCGAACCGGTTCTATCAGTCGATAATTTACAAAAAGGAAATTACTATTTTACGATTGATTTAACACAAGAACGTAGTTATTTTATACTTCTCAGCGTTACAAAAATACGAATTTTAATGTTTAACTTTAATATTATTTATATCCAAAAGTTATTTGTCTTGTTAGAAAATCCAATCTCTCGTGTCTTCGAGCGAGCCATTGTCGTTACTCGCTCGAACAAATCGTTAAGCGAGTTTATTATCCGAAGGAATTACAAAAAGAATTCGTCGTCGAGAGGCTTCTCGGGTCGTCGAATGTGATTCGGCCTTAACTAAATGGATAATATTTAAGTCGAGACATTTAAAATACAGAAAGTGCGTAGTTAAATATTCGCGTGAATTCGAATAATTNTGCATCAATTCTAGAGATTCTGAAGGGTTGCCTTCGGCCTGGAAATACTTTATCAAACGATTGGACAAATCTTAATTTATTGCGGCGATTTTAATATTTTTTCGCATAAAGTGCATTTCACTGAATTTCTATATAACGTTTTAATATTTAGTTAACCTATGCTTATTTTTTCGTATACATTTTTTGTTATTTGTAACAATAATTTTTATTTATTTTATTAGTCTGTATACATTTATATATATATTTCGCTCGTTATTTTATTTTATTTGTATTTAAATTTTTGTTCTATTTTATTTATATTCGAATGTTCTTAGCCTGACGATGGCCAACTGATTTGGCTGAAAACGTTAGCTTTACATTAAATTTTTTTCTCAGCAAATTAAGGTGTTTTGTTTTTTGATTTGTAATAAATGATATTTTACTTATGTCACGTGTTTCAGAAGTGGAAGTTGTATTGTGTTCTAGACACAAAAGTTGTTCTGCCGTTACGACCTAACGTCGAACTTCCTAACGGCAAGACAATTGTCAGCTATTGTTATCGAAGCTATTTCTAAAATTTACGTAAACTCGTTACCATAACCCGGATTTTATTGGCAACACAAAGAAATAAAAACATTACTCACAAAAGTAATTTTAACTTTAACGCAAAATTTCAAAAATTATTTTACCGAACCGGTTCTATCAGGTTCGATAATTTATAAAATAGAAATTACTATTTTTCGATTGATTTAACACAAGAACGTAGCTATTTTATACTTTTCGTCGTTACAAAAATACGAATTTTAATGTTTAACTTTAATATTATTTATATCCAANATAAAATAGAAATTACTATTTTTCGATTGATTTAACACAAGAACGTAGCTATTTTATACTTTTCGTCGTTACAAAAATACGAATTTTAATGTTTAACTTTAATATTATTTATATCCAAAAGTTATTTGCCTCGTTAGAAAAACCAATCTCTCGCGTCTTCGAGCGAGCAGCGACAAGAAAAACAATTGTCGCTACTCACTCGAACAAATCGTTAAGCGAGTTTATTATTCGAAGTAATTACAAAAAGCATTCGTTGGCGAGAGGCTTCTCGGGTCGTCGAATGTGATTCGGCCTTAACTAAATGGTTAAATATTTAAGTCGAGACGTTTAAAATACAGAAAGTGCGTAATTGCATATTCGCGTGAATTCGAGAAATTATTTTCCTTTAAAAAAATCGACTGAAAGATAAACTAAATTTTCCTTTATAATAAATTCTGAAATTTACATAGAATTTCTGTTTCGTTTATCAGGTTGGCGTGTTGCAAACCCGTTTTGAACTTGGCAAGATTTCCACATTATTTATTTTAAAATGTTTTCTGAAAATAGTAATTATTTCATTAAAATTTTGAAGTATTTTCCTGACTGGATGTCCTATATTATATCTCAGAGAATTGTAAATAATTTATAATTAAAATTATTTAATTCAGAAATAAAAATTTACACCTCTAATGATAAAGATTATTTATTCTGTCTAACGTTGCCCGGGAATAAAATAACAGCAAAGATTAAGATTATTTCGTACTTTTAACCCTTCTATTATATTATATTATAGTATTTGATTTATAATTACAAAGGATATCTTACGTAATGATTTATCACACCGACTGCCCAATCTAACACATCTAAAACTTTTTTAAAATCTGATACAGTAGAGGAATAAAGAATTTTAATGTGTGTTAGATTTGTCACTCGGTGTGATAAAAAGGTATGCATTATACCTATTTATTTGCACATATAATTATCTAGTACTTATTTCAAAATATTTATTTTTACTTAGCGTTTATAAGCGTGTTATTTAGACATCTCTACTTATTGATCTTACTTAGAACAATGTCATATAAGAATAGAGAGTTCCATTAGCAAGTAGTCTCCTTATTAGCAAATTCATTCGTCGGTTAATTTTTAACAATAGACTCATGCCTGTCATCTATCTAACACATTTCGGGGAGAAAATTTTTAATTATAGCACGTCACTTCCGGTTAGTATCGAACGTACCTTATAGTCAATCCGAGCCGGCTGACACTCAGTTATCGGCTCTGGTCTCATATTTTATCTATCCAACACCGTTCTCGAGACTGAGGACGGAGAGTTAATCAGACGACAGTGGTAATTTATACATGTACCATTTTTTCGAGTTACATTTCAATAAAAAATATATAATGTAAATGCTGTGTTATACAACACAAGTAGCTTATTAAATTTATTTTCATTACTAAATCATTAACTTATTTATTAACTACCTTAAACCTGCTTTGTTTAATTACAAAAATCAAGTTTAATTCTTAAAATATATAAGTGTATTTAACATATTAAATATGTATTCTACAGTTAAACATCGGTAAACCGGACTGGCACCGTACCAAGCAACGGCAGGTTTCCGTTTCGAACGACTTTGTTTTGGAAGGGTTTTATTGCTTCACACGCGACAATCCGAATCGTTTCTGAATCAAGTTCTTTACGCTGCAATCACACGAAAGCATTCGGAAGGTGGCTTTTGTCCTCCCCCTCGTATACCGCCGAAACTGTTCGAGAACGTCAAAGTTTATGTCAGAGTTATCATCTATTTATGCATTTTTTAAATTAAAGACGAGGTCCAAGATTATAAGGCAGATATACAAAAAATAACATTATTGTTCTCGCAATGTTAAATATTTACGTTTTTAATTAGCGTTGAACACGCACAGGTGTGACGCAGCGAGTTTCTAAATCTGTAGTTGTAGGATATCGAGTGTTTGTTATAAAGGTCCGTCAGTTCTTAGACAAAACGTATTATAACGTGAAATTTAAAACAAAAATATTTCTGAAGTAAGTTATTTTTATCGAAACACTCAGTAAAATTAATTAAACTAAATGAAAAATAATTTCTATTTAAAACGTACGCCTATAAAAAAAATTAACTGTGAGTAGAATTTAACTCTTGCTATTATATTTATTTTCTCCTGACGAAAGATGAAATTCGATGAAGGGAGTGGACTTGTGTATTTTTTAAACATTCAGTAGTCAAGGACATCCAGTCGTTTAATATTTAATTACTATTTCATTTTATAACTTCTTTTATTTTAACGATGGTTAACGTGATTTATGACGGAATCAATAAAAATATTAGAAACAATTTATCGTTATACTTATCATCATAAATATTGTGCGTCGAAAGCAGGTATTAATACAATGATACACTCTACCTCTTTTTTCAGTTATTTCTTGCCATTCTGTTCGTTTTCTCGCGATTCCCTCAACCTTTACATCGTCGATAAATTAATTCTGTTTTTTTTTTCTCTTTCGAAAAATTAATTTTTTAAGTCGTAATAATAAAATCAGTTTTACACCGACTTGCGTGACTTATTCAACAAAAATGTACAGTTTGTCTGGCGCCGTCTGTTACGATATTTTATCTCTAATTATTATAAAATGACAAGATCTCAATTTTCAAAGTGAAAACGAGTTTTATAGAAAATTGCAAGAGCTAATAACGAGTAAATGTCTTGAAGATGTAATAAGTGGCTCTGAATATTTCCCCATATGTTTCACATTTAAAATTTAATTAATCCTCTTAATACACAATTCTCCCTCTTAAATTTTAGAAATTATCGGTAAAAAAGGAACAGGAGCTATTATTCTTTAAAAAAAGGTAAACAAAAATCGTCCCTCTCATATTCACGCATATTGAAAACACCAATTTAATTTATTGTTTCTTCATTTCTCAACATTAACATGTGCTAGGCCCAAAAATAAATATATCTTGGAGGTCATTTTTTTACCGATTCCATAGTTTTTCTCTGTATAACTGCTGCAAATATAAAAAGTAATTTATTGACATAAATAAAATAAAGATAAAATTCGTAACAGACGTATATCGGAGTTCTTGATAAAAACGAGTAAATTACAAACACCTGTTTTGAATTAATAATCTGCTTTTGAACCTGTTACTTAAATTTTTATCAAATTTTAAAATTTCAGACATAGCTATTTTTTTTTCAATTATTACGTCTTTGTAGTTCTTTATTAATATTTATTTTTATATAATTAATATTATTTATTCATTTTTACTAAAATATTATTGTTTACTCCTTCGGCGTTTTTATAAAACACTGGAAAAGAATGAACATCGATGAAGGTTTTTATATTTACGAACTCATCAGTCTTTGACGCTTCGAAAAATGAAAAAGGAAAATTAAATGTTATTTTATATAAATTATTGTGTGTTTGGCGGTAGACGTTATTCTTCATCCAATTAAAATTTTATAAATCTTGTTTTTTGGTCGAAAAGTTTTGAAATTTTGCGTGGTAAAGCTGTTGTCACTCGTTTCGTCACGGATATAAAACCTTGTGTCTCTCTATAGGAACACCAAATATGATCTTCTGCCGATAACTAATTATTATCTATCTGGTTTACATTCCTCGTTACGCGTTAGGCATTAGGCTGATAGTTTAACTCTCGCCATTTAAAGTAAAATTCTCTATAATCTGCTTATTTAATTCTAAGATTTTACGATCTGCACAAACAATCTCTAAGTACGTTAAACCTGCTTCGTTTAGTTACAAAAACCAAGTTTAATTCTTAAAATATATAAATGAATTTCACATATTAAATATGTATTGTACAGTCTTTAAACCGGATTGGCACGGTACCAAACAACAGCAGGTTTCCGTTTCGAACGAGTTTGTTTTGGACGTGTTTTATTGTTTCACACGCGACTATCCGAGTAGCTTCTAACACAACTTTTTTACGTTGCAATCATATAAAAGCATTCGGAAAGTGGCTTTTGCATTCCCTCCTCGTATTATAAAGATGGAAATGGTTACGATAAGATAGAGCAAGTTAAAGCTGAAAAATTGGATAGTGATTCGATAATGATATTTTATTATTCTCTAAATGAGTTCCAAAACTGAAGTCATTTTTAATGAACAGGATAGTAAACCGCCGAAACTGTTCGAGAGCGGCAAAGTTTATGTCAAAGTTATCATCTATTTTTGCATTTTTTGAATTAAACACGAGGACCAAGATTATAAGGGAGATATACGAAATACGTTATTGTCCTTGCAATGTTAAATATTTACGTTTTTAATTAGCGTTGAACACGCACCGGTGTAACGCAGCGAGTTTCGAAATCTGTAGTTGAAGGATATCGAGTGTTGGTAATAAAGGTTCGTCAGTTTTCAGACAAAACGTATTATAACGTGAAATTTAAAACAAAAGTATTTCTGAAGTAGGTTATTTTTATCGAAACACTGAGTAAAATTAATTAAACTAAATGAAAAATAATTTGTTTTTAAAACAAAATATAAAATTCGATAAAGGGAGTGGACTTGTGTGTTTACTAAACATTTAGTAGTCAAGGACATCCAGTTGTTCAATTTTCAAATATTATTTCAGTTTGTAGCTTCTTCTTTTACTTTAAATGAAGGTTGTCGTGCATCATGACGGGGATCAATAAGAATATTAAATCATTCGAATGTTATACTCATCATCATCAATATTGTGCGTCGAAAACAGTTAATATAATGAGACACTGTACATCCTTCTCCAGGTATATTTCTTGCCATTTCGTTCGTTTTTTCACGATCCCTTCAATTTTTAGATCATCGATAAATTAATTAATTCTTTTTCTTCCTCTCTTCGGAATTTTACGATTTATGTGAAGTATAAAAACAAGCATTGACTTGCGCGTCTTTTTCAACAAAAACGTAGAATTTGTTTGTGGTGCCGTCTGTTATGTCTTTAAGACCCTTCTCGAGATGTAATAACTGGCTTCCTACATTTTCCCGTCCCTTCCACTTTTAACTACTGAAATTTAATGGCATCAAATCCTCTTAATACACAAATCTCCACGGTGAAAATAAAACAGGTGCTATTACACTTTAAAAGGGGCGAACAAAATCGTCCCTCTCATATACATCTATACAAAAAACGATATATCAATTTAATTTATTGTTTCTTTATTTCTCAATATTAACACGTCTTAGGCCTAAAAAAAATAAATCATGCGGGTCATAAAGGCATAAATCATTATCTATTTCATACTTTCTCTCTGCATAACTGCTGCAAAAAATAAAAACTGATTTATTGACATAAATAAGGTAAATTTAATATTTGTAACAGACATAATTGCACTGCACAGGATAAATTTTATAATATCGAGAATTCACTTGCTTATAAAAAAACAATACAAATAATATATAAAGGTGACGTTCAACGAATTTTTTCGATGCTATAACTAGAGACAAGACAGCGATATTTGTTATACATATAAGATAAAGCGAAAAGTAGTAAAAATTGGTATAACGACTAACAACGTACACTACACGTGGATTGCGTGAAACAACTGTTAAAAAATCTGATAAACTCTTATGAATATAAAAAATAAGAATTTCCTACATGGAAAAGCAGAGGTTTTTAATATAGCGGAGTCCTTGATAAAAATGTAAATTACAAACACCTGTTTTGAATTAATAATCTGCTCTGGAACCTGTTACGTAAATTATTATCGAATTCTAAAATCTCAGACACTTTAAAAATAAATAAAATTATATTTGTGGAGCTATTTCTTTTATTATTACCTTTCTGCGGTTCTTTATAATATTTATTTTTATATAATTAATATTATTTATACATTTTCACTAAGATATTATTGTTTAATCTTTCGACGTTTATACAGCAAAACGGAAAAGAATAAACATGGATCAGATAACGTCCTCGTCAAGGTTTTTATATTTACGAACTCCGTAATCTTTCACGTTTCGAGAAATGAAAAAGGAAACTTCAGTGTTATTTTATACGAATTAGTATGTGCTGGGTAAGGGACTTTATTGTTCATCTAATTTGAATTTTATAACTCTTGTTTTTGGTCGCAAATTTCTTAAATTTTGCGTGAAATGTTGCTATAGAGAGACACGGATATAAAACCGTTTCTGTCTATAGGAACACCGAATACGATCTCCTGCAGATTACTAATTATAATCTCTTCCAGTCCGCTTGCGTCACGACCTCCGCTGAATGAATTTATCCACTGCTGTTCTTGATACACTTTTTTCGATCTGTTCCCAGTGTGTTCCGAACTCTCGCGTATAAAATACTCTAGAAACGGTTGAACGATAATGTCGTATACAAGTGGCTCTCTCCAGATTAGAGGTATTTATAACTACGCGACGTTTTATGTGAACTTTCTCTCTGGCGAACGCCTCCATGACACTTCAAATCCAATGTCTAAGTATCTTGCTACCGTTAGATAAATTGTAGAAGTGAAATTTGAATTTATGCGTTAGGCATTAGATGACAGTTTAACTTTCGCCATTTAAAGTAAAATTCACTACATCTGCTTATTTAATTCCAAGATTTTACTATCTGCACAAACAATCTCTAAGAAGAAAATAGATAGTGTATATTAAATACGCATTTAGTGTAAAATATCTAAAAGAACCCTTGCCTAAAAGAACATTTACTCAAGAAAATTATTTGATTGTGCAATGACATATTTTTCGCAAATAACTTTTAAAATAATACAGAGTAGGAAGCACTATAATTACAAATTTTTGTCACGCAATTCGACGTATTACATTTGTCAGCTAAACACTTTGCCCTTGAATACTAAAATAAACAATTATATTTTAAAAATTATAAAATTGATCTTTATAATTTTTCTATTAATATTTGAACGATACTCGAGTCACTTCAACACCGGAAATAATTAAAACATCCAAAAATTATTTACTTATTTGTATTGTAAAGAACAAATAATTTGTAAATAAGTTCCAGAAAAGTAGTTGTGATTGGTTAGCCAGTTTTTTGTAACCATTTTTACAAACTTTGTCACGAAAGTAAATGCAAATCGACTTACAAGTTGTTCATCGAGACAGAGAAAGCTCCGAAAATGAAGTACGAAAGATTTCTTAATTACTTCGTAATTTTGACGCTTTTTTTGTGTTACGCGAAATGCAACAATACAGATCTTGAGGACGTCGATGATTTCCAACAAACGTCGATGATGTTAGAAAATGCGGAGATGCGAATCAAAACGGCTTTGAAGTCTGTCTTAAAGCGGAGTCTTCCTTATCTGATGAGAATTTTCGAAGAAGTGAACGTATCTTCACCTTGCACGAAGTCTTCCGTTCTCTTCCTGAAAGACTTGATGAAACTAAAAGAGTGGCCACTTCGAAGTAAGTAATTTTCAATGTTATAAATTAATACAACTTAAGCTAGGTATAAGGCAAAATCAGGTTTTTTGAAAAACCGGGCTCGGAAGGTCTGAAAAAATCCTGAATGAACAAATTTCACACGATATCAATACTTTATTTTATTATGACAGAAAAGAAAGCATACTCATTCAATTTTCATTTTCTGTGATTACACTAGTGAAGGGAAAGTTGAAAAGTGGTAGCATTAATTACGTTATTTCTTGGCTCTTATAACATATCGCAAAGTACGGAAAGATCAAAGAATTGTGCAAAGAAGTTATTTTAATAATCTAACTTGTAAAACTGTACATTTAATTACATTAAAAATGTATTAATATTTATTTCAAAACTAAAATATGCAAGCTAAATGCGATATAACACAATACTGGTATACCTCGACTTACGTCGTTCCTGATTATATGTCCTTTGTCAAAAAAGTATATGAAAAAATAAAAATCAAATTTAACTCATTTCATTCGACTTTACGTCTGTCTGCCACAAATATTGAAGTCGTAATATCACTGGAAAAGCATTTAAAGCACATAAAATCATACATTTACAAGTATATACTGTATTTACAGTACATGAATTCGTAAATTCAGATTACTTTTGTCTGTTCTATATTAGAAAGTTAAATTTATTTTGTAAGCTTACAATACATTCTTATTAACCATATATTATTTAAAGTGCATTAATAAATAAAATACAGAACTGGAAATAGTAATTTATGGTTTAGCCTAGTGACAAGTAGATTCGAAGACAAGTAAATTCGACTTACTTCGCCTCTCCTGGAACCATTACCGACGTAAGGCGAGGTATACCTGTATACATAATTTATTACATTTTATTTTTATTGCCTAATTATTTAATTTAATAATAACCTGGTTGAAAATTATTCATTTAATTACACAAACAAAATTTAACTTTTTTAATATATTACTGTATTTAATACATTAAATATGTAAAATATTCATTAACTACATTTTGAGCGATTGTGACCGAAGGGTCTGCACTGGATTGGCGATGCACACCTCAGGACTGACACCATAGTGTTTTAAAAAACACAAAAGTCGTGATGGCATTTACGTTTCGTTTCAGGCGCGACCGGTAGCGTGTGTTAGCAATCGGATTCGGGAGGTAGACGTGCACACTACAACTCAATTATAAAAGAATAACACCCGTTTGTTAATTTACATTTAGCTATAGATATACATAAAATAGCGCATAGCATTTCCGCTATAGTTTTTATCCTCAGCGCTGTTATAAATAAAGAGGATAAGTACGGCGATGTGTCACAAAATGAACCTGAATTAATATTTTTTTCATTTTTGGACGCAAGGAACCTTGAAACGCACAAACATAGTCAAAGAACAAACAGGATTTCCTGTATACGAAAATCCTCGTTAATTCGAACTTCAGATAGTTTGAAATCGCAATTACTTTGTCTTTTGGATTTCGATATGGATGTGTGCGTCTGTGTGTTGCACAAATATGCTCACTCGTTATGAAGCATAAAAATTGCTGTTTCTTTTTGTTTGTATCGTTGTTTAAAAAGAATTAATCTTACGTGTTTACAAGGAAGTTTGTGTATTATTAATTAACATCATTTATGTTAAATTTTAATAGTTATAGATCCAAGGGATAGAAGATGAAAGTAGTCACATCTCATATCTCGACAAATGTAGCAGGTAAAAAAGATTTAACACGTTATTAGCAATTATAGCTGTTTTTTTAAAATTCCTACTTATCCTCAAAATTCAGCTTTTTGCAATTTTATAATAATAATTTATATTAAAAGTNCGTGGAGGTTTACAAAAAATCCTGCAGGGACTCATATCGATACATTATTTTATTATGACAGAAAATAAAGCAGAGTCATTCAATTTTAATTTTCTGTGATTACACTGGTGAAGGGTAAGTTGAAAAATGGTAGCATTAATTACGTTATATACGAGGATTTCCGTATACAGGAGATCAGATAGTTCAAAATCGCAATTATTTTCGAATTTTGATATAGATGTGTTTGTGTGTGTGTGTTTTGCACAAGTTTGTTCACTCATTATGAAGCATAAGAATTCCTGTGTCTTTCTGTTTGTGTTCTTGTTTAAAAAGAATTAATCCTAGGTCTTTACAAGGAGATTTGTGTGTTATTAATTAACATTATTTATGTTAAATTTTAACGATTATAGATCCAAGGGATAGAAAATGTAAGTAGTCAGGTCTCATATTTCAAGAAATTTGTGACTTAATAAAGGTTTAACACGTTATTAACAATTACAATTTTTTTCTAAAATTCCTAATTATCCTCAAAATGCAGCTTTTTCCCATTTTATAATAATATATTAAAAGTTGTGACAATTTAAAAATATCGTAACAGTTGGTTCCTCCTATAGTTTTCAAGTCCGGCAGATGAAGTTACCAACTCATATTTTTAAACTGTAATTTATAAGAAAATATACAATTTTATGGAATAATTATATTTGGAAGTTTGACTGAGGTTTTTCTCTATTATAATGCAAATTATTTAATAAAATCTGATAGTAAAATAATAAGCTAACGTGCAAAGAAAAATACAAGTTATACAAAGTTACTTTAATACATAGTGGCTCTCATTCAAATAGGTTTATGACGAGGTGATTAGGCCTAATTACTTAATGTAAGTTTGCTGACCTGGTAAAGATTCGGGAAATAAAATTCCATTTTTCGCACTACTGTAAGGTTTCCGACTCTTAAGGCTGCTATACACCATGGGTTAATCCTCAAAGAAGTAACCATGCACGCCTGATTTTGAGTCATTCCTGGATGTGTGGGGGGGAAAATGCCTGACCTTTATAATATTTGGTAGTTTATGAGGGACAATTTAACAGCTTCGGCGACCTGTACCGACCACCTGAGTAGAATTGAAAAACCATTTGATTTTCCTGGCGCAGTGTCAGACTGCGCAGGCCGACTTAAACGTGTGTGAGAACAATGTCTAATGAATGTTTGGAAAAATTATTTTCTATAACCTTATTAACTTTTATTATTTATAACCTAATAAATTAATTTTTCAGGTTATAAATTATTTTCGGATCGAAAATTTCTTGAGTAAATTAAAATTATAAATAATTTTAATATTTAGAAAACTTCTCAATTCATTTCTTCCGTTTTCATAAAACATCTTGATACTCTTTATCATTTTCTTCTACATTTTAAAAAATTTATTGTTTTAATATCCAAGTAGGGGAGATCGAGGCAACTTCGGCATGCGGGGCAATTTTGTCAAGCGCTTTTTTTAAAAAACAAATTAAAAAAAAAACTTTGATTATAGGTTAGGCAGTTGAGTTTTATTGGTGGCTTCTTGAGTGTAGTGTTTTTATTGTTCTCCAACAAGCGTAGTTGAATTATCAAGCAAATTTTCATTTTCGTTCAATTCCATATAATATTTTTTTCCATTTATATTGAATTGGCAGGTTTTGTTATAATTCCATGATAACGAAAGTTACTTTTCCTGTTAGAAGGATGTAACTTTAACTTATTCACGTGGCCAGATCGTGGCTTGGCATTCTGTTCTCAGGGTTCTACTTAATGTTTCGAAATCATGACTAGCGGGGTAAGATCGGCAACATAAAGCCACATTAGAAGCAAAGGATAAAAATCAAACAGATGATAAATGAAAACATGTTTGCATTTGTTATTCATGTATATATGTCTTTGAACTTGCATTTCGTTATAATAGTATTAAATGGGTGTTGGATTTGTATTTCTTTGTTGTAATAGTAAATTCCAACTTATACATTGTTAATAACATAATTTTATATACGTGCCTATCTTGCCCCATTACTGTTGCCCCTATACCAGGGGCAACTTTAATAAAAATAATTAAAATAATTACAACTTTACAAAAAAAGAGAAGTTGCCGATCTTGCCCCTATACCCGGGGCAACTTCGTCAATTTCTCTCTTCTTGTAAAGTTGTAATTATTTTAATTATTTTTGTTTCCAAACTGATTTTAACCAGTTCTATAGTAAGGTAACATTCCAATAGACAATATGCAAAGCTTTTTTTTCAGTTTACAGCAGTATTTATTACACAAAATTTAAGTAAAGCTTAACGTGCCGATCTTGCCCCGATCTCCCCTAAATTAAAACACGACAACTAAAAATAAGACAAAGTTTAATAAATTCCTTTTAATTATTAAATTATAAAATTAATCTGCGATAATAATGTTTACAATTTGTACTAATATCGGATGTGATTGAGAATTATTAATATATATTCGTTTATAAAATTTAATCCATGAATTTATTTGGTAGTAAAATCGACTCGCCATTGTCTTTCGCTGATAATTGATGCTTTTTAACAGAATCTGTAGCCCAAAATTTCTCTTGAAAAATTAATTTTGTGATCTGAAATAATTCCATTAAAAAATTATTCGTATGAGAAATTAATTTAGTGATCAGTGCTACCCAAACCACTACTACTACTATTTACACCATAGACTTCTATGCATACTTTTTCCCGCGAGTTTTAATAGAATTTTTTGCCGATAAACATCAGTGGCGTAATAATAAACACAATGGCGTAGCGAACATAACTGCACCCAGGCCGCGACACTATATTGGCACCCCCTCCCTTTCCAGAAACAAATTTTGCTATTCTTGGAAACCATTAGGCTCCCCTCTGCCAGTGGCGCCCGGGGCAAGCTGCCCCACCCTCTGCTGAGAGGTTTTCTTCGTTTTTGGGCGATAGGAAATTCGGAAATTCCTCAAGGCCAGGCAGCCTCAAAGAATTAACCCATGGTGTATAGCAGCCTTTAGGAAATCGTTAATCCCGCGTCAGGATGATCTAGGGTAGTTCGCGTGTGGGCAAGGAGAAGGAGACAGAGATAACAAGTATCTTACAAAAATCCATTTATTTTTGCATAAAAATAAAAACTAAGCTTACACTAAGAAACATTCGTTCCCAGTGTGTTGAGACAGCGCTTTCTATTTTCATTCGTTTCTATTGACTCACAGAGTTTGTCTTGTCGTGTGCCCCGTGCCCTTGAAGAGCGGGGATAACAACGATCTCCGTTATACCCTTTTTGTCTATCCTGATTGGCTCCAAGTTTGTCCCTAAGCGAAAGACGAGACCTGTTCGGATCCCGAGAAGGTACGCATCGGGAAATTTACCCGACACTATCCGTTAACTTTCGATGAAAGGTGTAAATAGGACTTTGCACTTGCGCTCATTTCAATCTATTGTAGTCTATGACGTCTTAGAATTTTATCGACCTGACGCGATGTTTTCTTTCATAATTAACCTTTCCTCTCTTCGAGATTTTCTATGTTTTAATTACAGTATTTGTATACGAGCGCCTTGTCAAAGGTCTATCTCTACTGCAGGACGCATTTACTTCGTCAGGTCTTACATTAATAATACTTTTTTTCTCGTCTCGATTTAATATGATTAGCACATCTGAATCCGATCATTAATCGGTTTTTATCAATGGAGGTTTTTACCCTCTAGGTTTGTTTAATAAATTTTTAATAAAAAGGTTTAATTTCAATTTGTTTTTTGAAACCTCACAATAATAACTTTTGCGCCGTATACATTCTGAACAAACCCACATTATTTTGGTATTTCATACACTTACTACACTAATTTTATTGACTCGTTTGATTCACAATAACCTTGACCCTCGATATATGCGGTTCCGATCAATATCGATTCGGTTAATGCGCATCGTTTGCAGGTAGGTTGAACGTTAACATTTCGACACGACAATTAAGAGAAGGTTGTGCAAGATGGAGTCGTGGGACAAGACGGGAACGTCTGTTTATTTGTGGTTAATGTACTTTTATCTAACTGTTATTTGGGAACTAAATGTTCACCTCGAAAGGGATCATGGAGCGACAGAACGTCCAAATCGCTCTCTTTGTTTGCAAGTAAAATACGTTTTTCATGTTTAAGCAATACTTCATCTAATTTTACGCCTGAAAAACATTTTATAAAGTAAGTATCATTATGAACTTTTACATTACCTTTTAGATAAAGATATTATGGTATTCGAAGTAACCTTTAAAACTGTAATTGTTTACTTTTGAAATGAAGTTTATCTTTGCTTGCAGTCAGCATGAAAAGTATACGTTAAGGATAAGAATGGTTACATGTCTAGCCCCAGGTTGACCACGAATATGACCTATGTATCCAGAAGTATTTTCGGAGGCAGACTTTATTGCTACAAAATCGACGAACAGGCTCCTTCAGCAACGGTAGGCCTAACGAGAAACAACAGATAAATGACACAGAATGCCTCTGTTGTGAAGGGTTATACTCTACAGAGAGTTGGGCTAACTAGCCATTGTGATAAATGGGCACACTGTTCTTGCGCCAATATTGAAAAAAACAACAGTTTAATCATTATAATTTGTCTTTCTTGTATATAAAAATATTTCCATCTTACTCCACGGGTGGGGCAAGATGATGCATTTACATATAATTTTAAAATATTAAATTTTTTTGTTTTTAAAAACGTTTTTCAAAATGAAATTATATATTATATATTACGAAATGTTGTAGTTGCTGTAAATAAAAATTAAAGTTAACGTTGTTGCCATCTTATGATTTTTCAAATCTTAACGTTCTCATCTTGCCCCAGTTTTACCCAGTGCCCCCTAAAAAGGGTTTGCCCCGGGCGGACTTTTTAGGGGGCGGAAAAATTACCTTTTAGGGGGCATCAAAATTTCACAATATATAATAATAATATCTTATAAAAATTTAAACCATTCTATTCTATATTTGCATCGTGCCTATGATAGTGTTATCATCTGGACAGTTCGGGAATCGACTCATTGTCCCGGTGAACTAGTAATTTGATTCCGGGATATCCTGCGCTACCTGTTGACCTTTTACTTTTTACTTTTTATTTTATTTTATTATTTTTTTTTTGCTTTTACAATTCATTCGTATTCATATACACCTCCAATATTTAATAGAGCTATTTTAAACAGGTGGCTGCACTAGCACGAAATTTTTCATTGCTTATTCTGAGACTAAACTAAATTTTAGTCATTTAAATTGAAATAGCTAAATAAGGGGAAGGCGAAATTTTCCTCCGCACAGGGCGGCTGACACCCACGCTACGCCACTGCCTTTCCCTGTAAACCAATAACATCTGTTTACTCATTTTCAACGTTGATTACATGTGAATATGAAACTTAGTGTTTTCGCGCAGTAATCTTATTTATTATGTTTATATTCATATTTAGTGTAGTTTCTGTTTTAATTCTTTAACTTTTACTGATAACTGCAGAGGCAGCAACAGCGAGGCTCATGCCAAATAAATATTTTACTATATTTATAAAATTTTCTTTTATGTTGTTGAACTATACCGTTCGTTATGTGTACAAAATAAGATAAAGTATTGGAATCCTCCAAATTTCATCTTCCGTGTTTTTTGTAAATCTTCACGTTTTAAGACCGGCTGAACCCAAAAATATATATTATATGAAATCGATAATACAAAAGTCGGTGGTTGTTAATGGTTAATACCGACAGATAAAGGGTCACGTCTTATACATTGAGATAGATCGGACTTAATAATGTAACTCGTTATTAGCATTTCAGATCTTTTATGAAACTTATCACTTTCCTCAAAATTACGCGTTTTGCTATTTTATAATAATTAACAATATAAAACACTTTTAGAATAAAATCTTGTAACGACCGGAGAAGTTATGCAGTTTCTTGTAGTTGTTAATGGAAACGCTATTTATCAATCTTTAACGTAATTTAAATGTATAAATTACGGTTTCAGACACGTTTAAAAATTCATTCATTTCCAGTTTGTTTTTAGCATTCACATTTGCGATTTCGCGTTATGCGCTATTTTTGTGATTAAAAATTAACTGAAGGTTCTCCACGGAATAATGTAATTTTTTATGTTTCTATTTATTTTCTTCAAACATGATATACATAAAGATAACTGTAATTAATTTTATTGCAGTGATTGATTCTTTTGGAAAATTACCGGCAGGAATGTTAGGAATGACACAGTGGATGTCAGGAGATTATGACCAGTGTTTGGACATAGAAATTCCTCAAGATAAAAAACAGATTACCGATAAAGAAAAGGAACAGATTCGAGGCAAATACTGTGCCCTGACAATTGGAATGCAAGAATCACTGAAACATATTGCAAAGTCGATTCATAAGTTGGAAAATAATTCATTGATTAAACTTGCAAAAGAGATTATTGTAAGTATTAAAGTTTAAAGAAAAAATTTGCGATGGATTAATAAAGTTCATTGTAATTTGTCAGTTAAATTTATTTATNTTATGTTTCTATTTATTTTCTTCAAACATGATATATATAAAGATAACTAATAATTAATTTTATGTATTTACTATTTCCAGTGATTGATTCTTTTGGAAAATTACCGGCAGGAATGTTAGGAATAACACTATGGATATCGGGAGATTATGACCAGTGTTTGGACATAAAAATTCCTCAAAATAAAAAAAAGATTACCGATAAAGCAAAGGAACAAGTTGGAGGCAAATACTGTGCCCTGACAATTGGAATGCAAGAATCACTGAAACCTGTTGCAAAGTCGTTTCATAAGTTGGAAAATAATTCATTGATTAAACTAGTAAAAGAGATTATTGTAAGTATTAAAGTTTAAAGAAAAGTATTGCGATGGATTAATAAAGTTTAGTGTAATTTGTCAGTTATATGTATTTATAGAAAAAATTAATTAATTTTTTTATAGAAACCAATGAAGCTTGAAGACTTATTTAAAATAAACGTAGCCAAAATGGTAATGGGAATACGTTTGGATGTGTGCATTCCGAGTACATGTAGTAATAAAGACTTAAAACACGTTGGGAATTGGAGTAAGTCGTTTGATATTTTGTAATTATATGAAATTCTCTTGTAAATCCGAATACGTTTTAATCAACTGTACGTAGAAACTGAATTCGTTCTATTATATAGAGTTGAAACAACACAAAATTACTCTAATAAAGCATAATAACTTTGTAATAATAATACAGTACTTATATATAGTATGTATTTTAACGTCGATATAAATATGTAATTCAGTATAAACAATTTTTTAAATTACTACTCAGTAATTTGTAAACTCTTTATGACAAGTAGTTCGGATTAGCAAGAGTTAATTGTATAATATAAAAAAGGACTCTATTTTTTTGCTATTTTTTATAAGGAAATAGTAACCGTAATGCGTGCAGTGCCCATCGATGGCAGATTCTGTTAATAATTAATGAAAAATGTTTCAGATGTGAATAAAGGAAAAAAGTTCCAATTGAAATTCCTCCCACTGCACGAGGGAACCATATTGGAAAATCGAGGTTTTTTACTTATAATACTTGTCCTTCTCTTTGTTAAATTTCATTTCACAATATTTCAAAATTTATCCTTCAGACAGCCAAGAGAGTAAAGAAATGCATTCGAACGTCATTTTATCTGATTAATTAAAAATAAAATAAGCGATAAATTAAATTGTTATTTTGAAAAATTAATTTGTGTAATTGTTTAAATGTTTAATTACGTTTTTCATTTTATTTTTCAGTATTCGGGACTGCTGTAGACTTTAATGTCGGATATTGCAAAATCAAAGATGAACGCATTGAATATAGTACCGGACAATTGATATCGTTGTAAGTATATTTTTATTAAACTAATTATATTTAACTAGCAGATAAGCCCGGCGTTGCTCGGGCAAAAATTAACGATCGCGAAGATTAAGATTATTACTAGTGATGTAACGAATATTCGGTTACTATTCGGTATTCGGCTTATTTTTCACTATTCGGCCGAATACCGAATATTTAATCATCATTATGCCGAATACCGAATACATAAAAACAGGAGTAATAAATAACAAAAACACAGCAAATTAATCATTTTGGTATTTAAATTTAATGTTATCGAGTTAGTGTTGTTTGTTTATATTTATTTATAACTTGTAACATGCACAAAATAAAAAAGAAAATAATATTAGTCACACGTATTCACAATTTATAATTACAAAGATCAGCACACGTGCACGTCTATCGTGGAGAATCCTCGCACATCTGAGGGCTTGACCCTGTTTATCTTTTTTAAGCGTTCGTCTTTGCTCTTCCCTCTATCGCTCTAATCCAGTGGTTCTCAACTGGGGTTACATGTACCCCTAGGGGTACGAGCGTAAATCGAAGGGGTACTGCCCATATAACTTTTATTATAAAATGGCTTCTTCTTCTTCGTGCCATATCAGAGTTCTGAAGTCGGCGACACCCGGCGCAGATTAATAATACGCCAAGATGTTTACTAGGGAAGGTTAGTACCCAGAGTGGTTTCCCGTTGCCTTCTCTGGGGCGCGATGTTACGCGAAGGGAAAGAATGCCTTCCGGGAGGACTTTTATGGGGAACTGGCCTCCTATTTAGGCCCTGTACACACTAAGCGTTTTTCAACGCGCGTTAGCTCGGCGTTCGACGAACGTTAGTTCGGCGTTTAGCACTGGCTCAGTTTGAAAATAGACGAGAAAGTAATTGATTGTGTGTGCTCCTCCATCGTCGCTATAAGGCAGCACATATATCTCAAAGCGCCCGTAAAGTGCCCGCAAAACGCGCGTTTTAACAAAAATGTATTAACGCGCGTTTGGCGTTTGAGTGTGTACGGCTACATAGAACTCTTGGTTCTTTAAAACGCGCGTTGAAAAACGCCTAGTGTGTACAGGGCCTTAGTCGTTATCGGCAAGGAGAAAACCCGGAAAACTCCAAGCAGCCAACCTGTCCGATCGCGGCGCGAACCCACGACCAAACTCCCACTGTTTAGGGAACGAAGACTGCTCGACCACTGGTGGGCACCGTAAAATGGCTTATGTTAATCAATTTGCTATAAATTATTAACACAAGAAACAAGAAACAACAAAAACTTGCTTTAAAATATCTCAATGTGAACACCGATTTTTCTGTTAACAGTCTAAACAACTTGTTTATCCACTTGATTTGCCTGTCTATTTGTGCCATTAGTGCCGAGTGAACCTGTAGTCTAGTAAAATTACGGTTTAATTAACCGAGCATTAATTTTAGAATACAAAAAATTTTTTTTTATTCTATAATTATTCCTGAATAAGATTGGGGCTTTTCATGTTTTTACTGGACTACTGGTATTAGGAATAACGAGGCTTGGATCGTACCCCAACCATGCAATGCGTGTCACTGCATGCGCGCATTACTTGATATTTAGCAAATTTCGACGTTACATTTGTTACAAAAATTGATAGATTCGTGTATTGTTCTGCTCGTTATAAATTCGCAGCCATTACTTTCAAGTTCAGTACACAATTATAATGTCTATTTAACAATGTTGGAACCAAATTTTGAAAAAATTGCTGAAGATTTATCGCGACAAATATCCCATTAAATTTTGTTAGAAATTATTGTAGAATAATTTAAATTTTCTTCGTCGTTAATTACTGTATAATTATTTTTAGAAAATGTAATTTATGGACGTATTGAAATGACTTATGTGATTTTATATAATATACTTATCAAATAATAATAAATACATGTATGTACCCGATTAAATCTATTATTATTTAGGTAAAATAAGTAATTCACTTTTAGTTATAGTTAGAGTTTTCTTATGGCGCTCAGTTATAAGGGCTCTATACATCTAACGCAGTAATTATAAAATTTACATACAAAAATATAAGGGGTACTTGTGAAACAACTTATGGGCTAATAGGGTACATCAACAAAAAACGTTGAGAACCACTGCTCTAATCCATGTATGCCTGTGCATTCATCATAATACGCGCTCACGATACTTTCGATTCGTCACTTTTCAGTCGTAGAGTTCCCATTTTACAATTGCGTGACTCAGCCTGGTGATAACAGAGAAAAGAGACAGATAGAACGTCGATATAAGTCACAATTATGATTTTACAGATTCGAGACAGCTCGGTAGCCCGAACGGCCCCAGGCTTTCGCCCGTGCACGCTAAGTGACTTTCATTACAAGCATTTAGCTTTCCGAAGTCTATGACAACAATTGTTTGGCATTGACGGCCGCGAATTTCGTGCCAATAAGCTGCCTCGACTCGTTCGATTATGTTATCAACTCAATTTCATATTTATTTTCACATTTTCACTTCGCGGTCCTTTTCTGTTCTGTTTCCGTTATTTACACGTGTAGGTCATTTCATTGTTATTCACATTTGATATCATCACTTCTCAATACTTCCATGACACTCTTGTCTATCCGCTACAACTGCTAAGAATTAACGCGATTGGCGAAGCGTAGTGACAGCGAGCCAATAGTGAGCGGGATCCTTGCCATAATGCGGTTTGCGCGCCAATTTTCGTACGTGCGTTAATCGAGCCGAATAGTTTGGCCGAATATTCGGCTATTCGGCCACGCTCCTGGCAGAATATTCGGTATTCGGCCTGAGGCCGAATATACTATTCGTTACAACACTAATTATTACCCGTTTTCTGAGAATGCAAGAATTAAGTTGCACTGTTTCCAGACTAATTAGAAAATTTTTAGATTGGTCTAAAAGTATGTTCTATTTTTCGAAAATGTGCAAAAATCCGCATCTACGGCTTTAAATCTTGCACGTCGCGTTCTCTTAATACTTCCATTATTAACATTTCCATTGTAACTTAACACATTAATTGTAACTTAACACATCCTTTTCTTCTCCCCTGGGGAGAAGAAAAGATAAATTTATGTAATCTTTGTTTTGAATCTTTCAAAAGCATTGGGGAAATACGGACAAAATGACATATACGTACAAAATCACATAGGCACCATAATTTGAATTTGGAGGTCTCAAGCGCACAACTGACCATGACACCATGTTATACGACCGGCTACTACTAACCTGTCAAAATGTGAACGTACTCCTCTCATTGGCCCGGGTGTCATGGCCGACGACAAAAAAATGATACGTTATAAGTTTTTTTTCCTCGCAACAAGTTTTTTTATATAGATGGTAAGTTTTTCACTATTTTATCTACTTGTGTAGCATTTATTTCAACCCTCAAGAATTTGTTGTTGCACTTAAATAACTTTTTTAATTAAAAATAACATCTTTGTATTTATTTTATAATTTTGTTTTTTTTATAACGTTATATGGACAAAACGACATACATAGGCAACGGACATAATGACATACCTGTCATTTAGTCCATAAGAGCTTAGTCAAGGAACTTACCTTAATCTCTTAACGCTTTATTAATTATAAAAAATGTCTTCCAAACAAAGTCTTTCATTATTGTTTAAAAAAATTTTTAGTATAAAACTTTATTTTCTTTCTTACATATTACTGTATTTACAAACTTATTATATTTCACATAACAAAAAACTTGCAACGAATCACGTGACTCGACAAAACTCTTTAGTTTTAACTTCTACTCCTAATATGAAGGCGATTAAATCAAAAAACGAGTCCAAAGCTCCGCCAGAAAAAAGGAGACGAAACATTACTAAAAAGTTATTTGAAAAAGAAAATTTTCCTAATAACTCTCATGATGATAAAGAAGACTGTCCATGCATATATTGCGATGATCTTTTTTCCCGATCTAAGCCTGAAGAAGACTGGTTACGGTGCATAAATTGTTTCCGTTGGTCTCACGCTTCTTGCACTGACGTTTCTAAAAGAGCCAAGCGTTTTATTTGTGAACTTTATCAGTAATTTTATAGTTTTTACGTGTATGTCATTTTGTCCTTACGTAATGTGTCATTTTGTCCATAGTATATGTCATTTTGTCCATAGTGGATAATCTCGATTAAACTAACAATATTTTTTTTCTATTGTTTTAATATTGTAAATGTTTAGTATATTTCATAGGTAAAAAACCAAAGATGATTGGTGTAGAATATGACAGTGCTGTGATTTACCAATAAAGAGTTATGAACCTAAAATAAAACCGTATGTCATTTTGTCCGTATTTCCCCTAGATTTTTCCGAAGTAAACAAGGCCAGTTCGCAATCATTTAACGAGATTTTATTTTTACATTCACATTGACGTTCCTCATATTAGCATTTCTTTCCCTTTCTATAACGCTTTGTTTCACTGTGTAATTACCGACTTCACACATCTTTTAAACTTGTCAGATGTTCGTCCACACTGTTTAATTTTGTATCCTTTAGTGTTATTTTAACATGTCTTTCGATTTCTTGTTAAACAAGTCATTATTTTCTAGTTGCGTTTGGCCTTTATTGCATCATTAAGATGTCTGAAAGCCTTTTGTAGTTCTTTCTTTGTGTTTTCTACCAGAGCTAGGCAAACATATTGTCTTGGTTTTACCGTTTACCTTTATAGCATTATTCTTGGTTACCCTATATTCCTTTATAAATTTATTACGAATACTTAATAAACTAGCTGAAAATTTACAGTCTGTTCTTTCAATTGTATCTCCTTTCACTCGACTTCAAGCTGCGTGGTATGATACTGTAAAATATATTTACAAAACCTCACGAAACATCTGTCGCATTAAACTTTATACATAACATTATTATAAAAATTACAGCAATATCTGAAAGAGCAGCATACTAGTATATTCGTTATTAAGGGAAATTCTTTCGTCAGATTATAGAATTCTACTTCTTTATTATGCATAAGGTATTGTATTTCCTGCGAAGTCGAAGATTGAAGATGAAATTTCTTCTATGGTATATTTGAGACTCTTCTCGTTGGTGTAATTTGGTTCATTGATTTTTCGACTAGGACACTCGTGTGATATTAATCCGCAAATACTTACAAAGTGTTTCTGTAATAATGATACTAATGTGTAGTTTTGTGAAATCTTTCTGCTAAATTTTGCCAAGGGACGCAAAAGTCGCAAATCGCACAGTTCGTACGTGTTAGCAACACAGATCCATGTTGAAATTTAAAAAAATTCTAAAATAAGTATTGCAATGCATTTTTGATCGCATTACAGCTGTTCTAATATTGCGATAATAGATTTTCTAGTATTATTTAATGTTAATACATCTCTGGTTTTCTTTGATTTGCTGAGATAATTGATCTTATCGTCAATTTCGGCGTAACACCGAATCTTCTATTTGGTTATAAATGTTTCCATAACTTTCAGATATACACTACATATTTAAAAGTAGTAAATATACGATTTTAAAAAATCTATTATCCTGAAGTACAGTACATAAACGTCAATATAAAATACCTGTGGTCACTTCACCTATTTCTAAAAATTATAATAATAATTGTTTAAAATTCATTAGAACTGTGGAGACTATATTTAGTAATAAAAACGTATAATGTAAATTAATGAGTATAAAAACAATCTGTAATAATTGTTTATAGTTTATTAATGGTTAATCTCAGTATAAAAACGAATAATAAAACGAGATGTTTTATTATTCCTTGATTACGACAGGGAAGTTGTGTCCTCGCTTGTCAAATATCAAGGGCAACATTGATATCTGGATCTCGAGCCGAAAATACACCGAATTTCATTAGGCTTTTCCATGTAGAGCAAATAATGGCGTTTTGTATCCTGATTCACCATTCTCCAAAATATGTTTTCTCAAGAAAATCTGAGTAGACCGTTTTTGCACACGACAGATCGATTTGACTGTTCCATGAAAGAAGTCGGAACACGTACGGAATAATCTCTTGAAAGCGTTTCGACAGATACGTATACGTAATAAATCGATAAGACTTTCGAGAACACTTACGTACAGGAGACGGAATCTTTTGAAAATACTTTAATAGAAATTGTGGAAGGGAAATCTGCAAAGACGGAACTGAGACATCAAAATGCAATTTGTGCTCCTTTGTCACCTGTTTTTCTTGTTAGTCATCCCTCTTCGTTAATGTTTTTCGAATGGTACCGTTTTCAGCGAACATTCGGTATCAGCTCATAACTTCGGAAAAGCAGACATCAACGTCCGATTTGACACCGAATTCCGATACCGATAGGACTTAAATGTTTGTCTGTTCCCATAATTTTTGGTGATACAGATCCAGAATTTTTGTGGAAGAAATTTTGCTGGCGATTCGGACCCAGATCGGAGCTTGAAACTACTCTGCACGTTTTCCGAGAAGTGTGGCCTACTCTCCCCAAGGAACAACCCGCCAACGACGAACTACGTGGTCAACAGCGTCATCACAATTAACAAGAAGCAAAACACCCTGCTTTTAAATTCTACTGTGATGTATCGTTTTATATGGATGAATAATGTGATCTATGTATATATAACTGTCCATCAGCCAAAATGGCACTTTCTACTGTATATTTGTGTGAGGATTATTTTTAATCATTGTGAAGCGGGTCAGTTAAGAGATCCTACCTTTCTTCATCCTTCCGAGCTTTCAACTTTCATTTTATACTCCCTCCCTCTCCTTCTTTCCTCATTTTCTTTCACATGGGCTGTCTCACTACAGCCATCTGCCTATAAAATAAACGCAACTAAAGTCTGAAGCTTCACAAGTGAAAAGTCTTCATTAAGCACGTATTCAGGACATTTATAAATAATGCAATCTTAATATAGGTCTTAAGTTATTATGTACAAAGAAATAATGTTTATATTCTTACATCCAAACAGATATAAATACAATAATAGTTACTAAATAAATTGTTAAATGATATAAATTATATTCAAGTAAATTGATGTGAAATTATTAATTGCCTTAATATAGAATTGTTCTCGGCATATTTATCGCATGGGTAGGATTGGCAACGTTAACAGAAATATTAATGAGACTTCATATTATTCCTTTGAAGGCGAGTAAAGGTAAGTCTTTAAGATTATAAAAACATACTTTTAACATAATTAAGAATAGGAATTTATCTATTATTATTTTAAAGTTAAGGAAAATGATTTTTAATGCTTTCATTTTCAAATATATTATGAACAGTTCATAAAAATAATTTAAAAATATATATATTTATATCGGTTAACTGCACATAAATAATAATTTATTAAAGTTTATTATTTTTAGGTAAATGTTTTGAGTATGTTCTTGGAGCTTCACCTTATAAATCGCTACATAAATTATATTACACGAATCTTGACGAAAGTACAAATTCGATGTGCGGTGTAAAATTCCTTCTTGTAAATATTGTGGTGTTGGGACATGTATGCGTTGCAGGATCATTTTACCCCACAGTAGGAGGTATTGTTATGTTTTTAATATGATATTTAATATTTATAAATATTTATGCCACAGTGTATGCAAAATGCTTGCCACTGTAACACAATTTTAAATGTTGTATTGTTCTATAGTTGTGTGTATATTTATTATTATTATATGTTCATTTTTATTGTTTTGATGATATATATTGTCGCGGGAACAAACGGAAATCAGTCGTTAGAAACACAAAGGGATTTATCAACTCAGACAATGTACAACTCCTGCAGCTTGCAGTAGGAGAACACGAAAAACCCTCTCAGCCTGAGAGCTGGCTGTTATATCCTACAGAGACATGGTAGAAACATGGTAATTGGTTGGTATTTACATAAGTTCTCAGACCGGGAGAACGTACCCACACAAAAGAAACGTGTAGCAATGAGGGTTGAACCGGCGACCTCTGCTCGATAGGCAAAGCCGCTAACTTCTACTCCATGAATGACACGGTGGGAAGAGCAAGCCGCGGCAATATTTTATATATGTTTGTACCTTTTGTTTTTTGAACCCTTGAAAAAGACTAATAGCCAGAAGGTCGTTTAATTAAATACATAAATAAATATTGTTCAATTAGTTGATATCATAGTTAATATGGAAAACGTAATTATATTATTACTTTTAACAACGTTTTTAAAAGACAGTGTATCGTATTTTATATACAGTTAATTTTGAAATTAAAGTATATTTTATATTTAGGCTATATAATTTGTAAATTCTTACCTTACATCTTATTAATTCACTGACAATTTGACGCTCATCATGAATTAAGTTGCTAAACAATCACCGAAGACATTTCTTTATCAAGTTTCAAAAATTTAAGACTATTTTACTGAGTGTCACTCGTTTTACAGTTATTTTTACACAGAGTAATTGACTATTTAACGTTTCTATTTTACGATATTTACTTCAATTTTCATTCGTTAAAAAATAATTCGAATAAACTCTACAAAAATGAAAAAGAAATTTATTGTGAAGATTATAAAATGCGATGGTCGCATTAGCGTCTTCATAATATCCATGATATCGGTGAATGTGCACATTTATTACTGCTTTATCTAATTTATACAGTAATGTACAGAAACGCTACATTTAGAATATAGGCAATTACCCTTTCGTCACACACACTCTCTTATTTAGTATTCTTGGATCAACATTTTTCAAGCTTTTCCGGGTGTCTTTAGCAATCTTCATGCATCTGCAAATTGAAATTTTGTTTTGTATATTATGTGCTTCCAATTTAGACTCCTCCAATTGTCGAAAAAATATTTATAAAAAGCACTTTTACTTTTTTTAACAAATGGTGATGGACATAATTAGATCTTAATTTTTATTTATTAAAAACATAATTTTAGTCTTACTAAAACTACTTGTATAATTACTGTTGTTTTATCGGTATCTCACAAAGCGTTATATTATAGTTTCACTCATTTTTTTGTTCTTCGGGTTGTATCTTCTTCTTTTATTTGACTTCTTAACTAAGGTACGATACAACGAAAAATATTTACAGAATATCTCGAATGTTCTGTCACACGAAACTTTACACATTTCGCAATAATAAATAGAATAATTGTTCGCTGGAGCGACATACTAATCTCTCCGTAATAAGGCGAAATCATTCTATTAAATTGTGGAAATCGTTTCTCTAATAATGAACAATGGGTTGAATTTTATGTTACGCCTTAGGTTGATGGTTAAATCCTTCTTCTCATACGGGCAATCTATTCGATGATTTTTTCTCGATTTTTTCATTCGTTCAATTTGACAGTTGCTATTTCTACCTCGAAAACTTTTGTGAAATTAATCTGCAAATACCTGCAAAGTGTTTTCGTATTGGTAATACGCGTATATTCATTTCTGAAATCTGGTTTATTTATTCTGGTTTAGTTTTCGTTTTTTGTATTTTTTGAGTATTTAGGTGTATTAATTAATTAACTAATATACAAAAAATATACAAATTATATCATATGCAACATGCAAAAACCGTTTCATCAAGTAAACAATAAATAGCGCCGTAGTGTTTCTAAAGCGTGCTATAGTTCGAAACAAAGAAAAATCAGTAATTCTACAAAATTACTAAATTTTGAGAGAAAGTTATTTCTAACAAATTGCAAAATCCGCACGGGTGATGCCGAGAGTTAATACATATTACATTTCAATCAATAAAACTAACATTTCATACAAATCATGTTTTATATTTATTAATTAATAAAAGAATAACAATAATTATATTTTAAAGAAAAATATACCAATATCTTCAAGCTTCTGGATCTTCTTTTATTCGAAATTATTCTCCAAGGCGTCACTATGATAGAAGCATTTTTCTTCTACAGGTAAGATCATTAAAATTTAAATGTTACATATAAATACAATTTTCGAAGAATATTTACATTCGCTATCATATTAATAATACTAACATTTATATATTTTTGGCAAAAATATTTTTGTGTTTAAAATTAATAAAAAATAATATTTTTTACTAGCGGGTTTATGGTAATGTATCTGAGACAAAAAAGTGGACGAAACTCTGTGAAATACTATATCATGTTTTTAGTCAAGCGAATTATCAGGTAAAATATTTAACTGTTTCTGTCATTTGTTCGTGTGTTATATTTGGTTCGTGTTGCAGATATACACTTCCAATATTCTTCGTTCTGGGCTTCGCAATTCTTCTGCCTCTTCTTGGAGAAGGTCCTCATTGGCATATTATTATTAGTCAGGCAAAACACTTAGAAAACGAATGGTGGAAATATATCACTCATATTTCTATTTACTCGCGCGGTGGATCGATGGTAAATGTATAAAAATTAAAATTCACTTTTTGATTTAAGTTTTAGACATTATGAATGATTACGTGAAAATTTGCATTCACTGAAGCTGTTTTGAACAAACCAATGTATTAGATATATACTATTTATCGTTAAGCCAGAAATGTTTTTAATGTATAACATCTTAGGAAATTTGAAGGGTCCGTAAACTTTTGTTCACTTTAAACTGTTTTATATAACTATTAGGGTTTCTCATTTCCCGGTCTTTTGCTTGTCCCGGGATCCCGGGATCCCGGAATCCCGTTTCAGAAACCCTAATAACTATGTTTTGTTTAAAACGTTTTCTATTTGACTATTCGTAATGTCAATCGTTTGTTGAAAGAAATAAAACTCGCTATAAATTTGCAACTTCTATCAGTGGAAAAATTTAGTGGTTTCTGGTGATATAAGAACAATGTGTAAAATTACATTTTAATTCGTTTCGTTTAAAGTTAACTAATATATTTAAGTTTTAAAAGTTTCTTTATAAATAAAAACACCTCTTACAACATCATCTTAACAAATTAAATATTATTATAATTTTTCGATAATCACTTGTACTGCAAATCAACACCAGCGTGTATGTAGTTGAGGTTGCTGTTTATTCTGCAATTCCTGTGTCTTACAAGTTAGTTACATGTAAATGAAATACGCACTATACACCTGACGGTAAACAGACCAAATATTGATATTATGTAAAAAGAAACCTAAAAAGAAATTATTGAACTACTAATACTGATGATTGCTTTAAATTAATCAAGGAATTTATCTGTTTATTAATAATTACATTAAACTGTAATGTGCAGAAAATTAAATAACATCTAAAATTTATTTTATCTCATTATTTTTTATATGTAAAATGAAAAGCTTTTAAATGGAAAAACTTATTAACAGAAAATTTTCAAACAATGATAAAATTTAGAGAAGACAGTAATACAAACAGATAGCTTTATTAATAGCTTTATTATAGTAAAGCTATTAATAAAGCCATCTGTTTGTATTACTGTCTCCTCTAAATTTATAACAAATGTTTACGTTTATTATAGTAAACGTAAACATTTGTTATATCTTCAAGTCTGTGAATGCACTTATAGATATTACTTGTATTTGTGTGTATGATACATTTATAGATAAATCGAATAAAATATTAGTAGTTTCATTAGTTTTTAATTCGTCTACTTTATAAAAATGTTTAGGAGTTTTTCAACGTATTATGGTTCCTCGATGTGTTGCTGCAACTTTCCATCTTAATGTCACTGTTATTATATATTNAATTAACTTCGTTACTGTGTCAAAAGGATTTTCTCTATCATTCATCTCCACATTAAACAATACTAAATTTCTTTTCCTTAGATTGCTTTCCAGTATGTTAACTCTTTTGGTCAGCATCGTGGCAATTTGCATATTATTACCATCATTTTCGCAGTCATATACAGATTCCAATTTATTAATTCTCTCCGTCAGAATATTGAGCTTATCATTCATTTGCACAAAATTGTCTTTAACTATACGTAATTCTGTCTCAATTTTTAGCTCTATAGCATCCTTTATTTCCCTCAACATACCTCTTATTTTTTCCAAGAATAATTCTTGATCCAAATTCTTTCTAGTGTCTCTCACTTTAACAGCACTTCCCGTGGAGCAGGAACGCAAACGTTTACCTGGTGGTGTTCTTAATATCTTTTCGCTATTCTCAAAGGCTATTTCCTTTTCTTTGGCACTATCCCGATCCACACCTTCTTTAATTTTGACAAATTTATCCATAATAAAGCATTCACAAAAAACTTAGCCGCAACAAGTACAACTTTCCTTCAAAAACACGCCAACAGTCTCCAAGTTGTGAGTTTTTTTTCTGTTGATGTGCCACTGTGCTGTGTATCAGTGTTTGTTTTGGTACTGATTTGTCTGTAGAAAAGTTTTTCNTAGAGAAGACAGTAATACAAACAGATAGCTTTATTAATAGCTTTATTATAGTAAAGCTATTAATAAAGCCATCTGTTTGTATTACTGTCTCCTCTAAATTTATAACAAATGTTTACGTTTATTATAGTAAACGTAAACATTTGTTATATCTTCAAGTCTGTGAATGCACTTATAGATATTACTTGTATTTGTGTGTATGATACATTTATAGATAAATCGAATAAAATATTAGTAGTTTCATTAGTTTTTAATTCGTCTACTTTATAAAAATGTTTAGGAGTTTT